TTGTGTTACAGTGATGCGCGCGCATCTTAAAATTTCACTCTCATCATTTTTTCATAACGCGCCTAAAGAAGTATAACTTCAAAAAAACGGAACAACAACAACAAGCAACACGGGCACGCCCAAGTAGCTTTCCGCAGCGGACGGGGGGCAGTACGGTGGGCACTATACCCCAGGAGACCTCTACCGTGGAGCCCCGGCTAGGCCGGGAGGCTGCTAGGTGCGGAGACGCGGAATAATCCCTAAACGGGAATCCCGCGATTTCGTACTTAGCAGCTTAGAGGAAGACTCCACAGAGTAGAGAATAGTATCAGGGTAGGCATTGGCTATGGTGACCTCTCACCATCAGGCGGGCCATATTTATGTAGTGCCACCGTTTTAACATAAAAAGTTGCCTGCCCGAGTACTTAGACATTAATTTGTGGTGTATACAAATTGTATCGTGATCGTATCCCTTTTTACTTTGCACCGAGCATCTCGACATTTTTCATTCCCAAGACGTTTAATTTTGCAATTATTCATGGAAGAAAATAATGGTTAAGTATGTACGAAGGAATAAGGTAAGGCGGCTAATATTTTCCTTATTTTCTGTCTGTGTGATTGCTGTTTTATACGTCTTGGGAATTCATTTTTCATTTTAATTACCAACCCCTAATGTTGCGGATATAGCCGGTCTCGCTACACAAATTAATATCTATTCGGTATATGCAACACAAAATGTAATAATAATAATAAATTTATTTATTTGCCCTAACATTTTCACATAGTTATAACATAACAATTGTAAGCTAGAAAGAATTTCGACGCGGTCCGTGAGGGCCGCGGTAGCATAATTGGTCAGTGCATTCGCCCGGATTGCGAAGGGTGCGGGTTCGAGTCCCGTCTGCTGCCTGGTCCGCGTGGAATTTTTTCTAGTTATATTTTCTTTAGATTTAAACATCAAGCAGTTACATGCTTTAAAAATAATAAAAATTATAACTATAACAATTGTTTTCTTAATGCTTAATAGAAGCGACAATACTACTTAAAACGAAAAATACAATAAAATAGCATTTACAATACACTAGTACCTAAACTAGACCGAGCCTATATAATATCCTTCCTTTTTGACTAAATTAATATTGAAAGGATTTCATCTATAATATTTTAAATTATGTGCTTGTGGATTCTGCAAGAATTTCTGGTGATATTTTGTTTAAATTCAAACTAAACTAAAGAAAATCATATTTGTATTAAATATGTTTATATTAAACGATAATTTTATCTAACAATATGAATGTGCGTATGGGGCCCACATTCAATTGCGATTATTTAATAATAAATAGTATTTTTTTATTAACACGCTTTTATTAGGTCGACCTGTATGTAACTAACTATGTAATTAAAAATAAATAACTAATTTAACGATCTTTCAAGGATCGTAGCGTAATTAAGGTTGGAAGCTGTATGTAGTTCTGATGACAATGCAATATTATGGTACCATTGAGCTGGTCTGATGATGGGCCTGAAAGGTGCTTGGTGGAACCTTGGACTGCATACTAGTAAACATTAACCCCCTTATTAATAAACAAGGAATAAGCTTAAACTCAGGACTTATTAGGGAGCTCGATGGCGCAAATGGTTAGCGCGTTCGGCTGCGATCGTTGAACTTAAGCAACTTTCGCAGTGGTCGGTCGTTGGATGGGTGACCAAAACTTTTTTTCTCGAGCTCAACCGTGCTTCGGAAGGCACGTTAAGCCGTTGGTCCCAGCTGCATCTGCAGTCGTTAGCACCCACCAATCCGCACTGGGCCCGCGTGGTGGGTCATGGCCCAATCTGACTATTCCATCCATAGGGAAGGCCTGTGCCCCAGCAGTGGGGACATTAATAGGCTGATTATGACGCTTAGACTAGTTACACTATGTTTTGTTCATGACACTCAAGTGTCTTATGTCATTCGATGAACAGATACAAAACATGGAGTAACGAATTCAAGCTTATTCTTAGTTTATTAATAAAGGGGATAGAGTTTGGGCTTATTAGATTCGTCTTAACATATTATCTCTTATCTATTAGACAAGTCCGTCCGTCCGTCCGTCTGTGGTGCTGTTTCAGCGGCCAAACCGTAAGAGACAGATAAAGAGAATGTTTAAGTTATAAGTTAAGAATTGTCTGATAAGACTACAAACCGGATTTGAGTAACGTAGCACTTCCGGTTTTCGAGAAATCACGAATTTCAAACGAAACCACACAAAATCTCCAAAGTTCTCAATTAAATAAATACATTTTTTTCTTTTTTTTTTCTTTTTAAATCAGGTTTTGGTGAACATTTGGTTCACTGGTTTGCTAGTAATACTTAATTTAGGTAGCAATAAAGTGAAAAGCAATATTTGTAATCTTGTATGACATGACTATAAATGTGCATAGGTTGTGTAACGACCTTGTAACGGCATCCTTACCTACCTTAGGTTTTGTAAATGTAGTGAAATGTTAAAAAGTTTCTTTTATCAGTTTATAGTCACATCTAAAAGAAGTCCTAACTACTGGATGAAAAAAGTCCTAACTTCTGGTGTTGGTTCAAACCTCTCATTGAAATAAAAATAAGCTTTCTTTATTATTTACTAAGTCAGAAATAACTACAATCAGTAGTCACACTAATTTTATAAAGGCGAAAGTTTGTAAGTGTATGTCTATTACTTCTTCACGTCTAAAGGCTTACGCAGACCGGGACGGCATGGCAAGGGATTTTGCCGTGAGTCAGCGCACACTGGCCGCTTAGATACCGCGGCATTCCAGCACTATGCCACGGCATGCCGCGGCACGACAAAGCACGCTTCAGTGACTCCTGCTGCCCGATACACTTTTAGTCTTCAGTTGCGTTTGATCGAGTGTTGGTGTGCCTCAGTTTTGAAATGGTAGATTGGGATTTGGTGGTGTTGATATCGATTATTGCAGATGAAGAAGTAAGTTCATAGGCTAATAATAGGGATAGAACAAGATTTTGGTTTGATAATCTATGGAAAGAAAGTGAATTTAAGGGTGAATTCCCCGCTTCTCTACCCCCGCCGCCGCACCCCGCAGTATATCACTACGAGCGCCGGAGTCCGTGGCATGCCGTTGCCTACCGCAGTATGCCATGGCATCCCGCCACGGGAGCCTGTGGCACGTCTTTTAATGCCGTGCGATAAAATCCCTTTCAATGCCACGGCATCATTCTAAAGCATAGCAATTTATGTCGTATTTCTGTAACAGTACGGTTGAATGTCCATTAGTAAAAATTTAAATCCCTTGCCATGCCGTCCCGGTCTGCGTAGGTCTTAAACCGCTGAGCGATCTTAATAAAATTTGGTATGGTGTTAGCCGATACCCTGGATAAACACATAGGCTACGTTTTACTACGGGAAAATATCCTTAATAAGCCGCAGGTAACACCGCGGGACACGGCTAGTTGTTTACTAAATCAGAAATAATGTCAGTAGTATTAAATATAAAATTTTCTTAAATCAATATACAACGCACTTATGTTAGCGTAGACATTATATCAAAATGTGTCCCAAAAAAAATTTATGTAAAATGTGTCGAGACCAGATGACACGCACTGACAAAAAGTTATCATTTCTTTATGTAGAGCTTCTATTCTAACCAAGGAATAATACATGTTAAAATGTCATATATTTTTTTTTGTTCACACTTACGAGTATATGCATGTTTAAAACATGTAGTATACAAAATTTGTATCAAACTTGTTGGATTAACAAAATATGTGAAGTAAAGTGATTTATATTTGTAAGATACTAGTTCATCATCATCATCACCCTATCAATGTCCTCAATGCTGAGGCTCAGCCTTTCCCCATGGATAGAATACGCAGATTGGGCCGTGACCCACCACGCGGGCCCTTTTGCGGATTGGCGGGTGCTAGCGACTGCACATGCAGCCGGGACGCTTTAAGGCTTAACCTGCCTTCCAAAGCATGAAGGGACTCGAGATAGACGATTTTTTGGTCAGAAATCCAATGACAGACCACTGCGAAAGTTGCTTAACTTCAACGATCGCAACCGAACGCGCTAACCACCTGCGCCATCGAGCTTCTCCTAAGACACTAGTAGCCTTTGCAGTTGAAACGAAATAATGTTCCAAACAACCACAACAAGTGTTCTACAAATTTTGTTTAAAACTAGTATACGACTTGTTTCTTGGTGAAAACGAGGGGTAAATCTACCAGGTCTAACTTTACAATCTCTGCTTACATCTTAGTCAAAATATGTGGCTTGGTAAATCCACTACATTAGGCATATGGTAAAAAAAATATCCACCGTTCATTCCTTTCTTGCAGTAACGAAATGCCAGACATAGTTGATGCGAACGTAAACATTTGATACTCCTAGCGCCATCTAGCGAAGGGCTATGCATCATCGTTTGTGAGAAGCTTTGTATATTTAGCTATTTTTTTTAAACTTGCTGAATGCAAATCGGACTTGTATATTAATGGTTGCGTATTCATTATACATGATTCTTGTTTGGATTTTAATTGTTTTTTTTATTTCATCGTCATTGTCATTAATTGCCCTACAATAGCAACACATATTCTAAGATTTGTTTTTTTTATAAGATGAATCTGTAGATGTAACTGTAAGTAGAATTTAGGAAGGTTTCCGTTGTAAACCTTAAATCTAAGTTTACTATGATATAATATCTGCTTTTAAAATAAAAAAAAATAGCACATTAAATTTTGTATTACTTAAAATTTCAATTCATTAAAACAGACACTTGAAATAAAGTCAAAGTTTCAAATTAAACAAAATAAATTTAATAGTGAAACTGTAATATAAGCGATAGAAAAACACGCGTAAGCTTTTTAAAAAAGCTCCGAAAATCGTAAGAACGCCTTGGGGCACTTTTGCCAGTTAAGGATTTGTTTTCCTTGGAAACAACAAATACCCTCCGCCTTTAAACCAGACATAATTCAAGGAATACGCCACAATCTCATAAATAAAATAATAAACGGAAACAAAGCCACTTACCATGGGGATCCTATCGTAAAATCCAAATAAAGACCCTCATTTTACAGATTAAAAACGTTTACGATCGTCTCTCTAATCTGGCACCAGAATTAAAAAAAAAAACACTTTGTTCAACACTTTTGAAATTGGAACGGCATATTTCACAAATCAGTTTTCATTTAATTGAGATGGAGAAAAAAAACAATACACGATCGAATGCGAACGTGCGGTTTTCAAAAAGTTTCGCGCGCGCCCTCCCCGACCGTATGGCGCGAAGCCCGGCTGCTTACTGTCGCAGCGTTGAAACGAAACGCTTTTCCCGCCCTCGGGCCACAGATTAAACATTCGGCAGACACGACCTTTCAGCCTTTTAATTTAAAGGTAATAGGCTTACAATTTATTAAATTATAATGATTATGTTAACGTGGATGGTGTCTTTGTAACGCTAAAGCGCTTTGTTTGCAACGCCGCTATATAATACGTGAGCCTGTTCGTCTATTACGGATTAATTTCATAATTCATAAGTATAATATTTATTAGCCAGAACGAAATTTACTTTCATTACGGGTTGTTTATTGGGTTAGCATTCAAATTATTATTTAGCATAAAATGGTTTGAGGCGAAGTGATACGGCTTTTTGATTTTTTTGAGTTTCTTTAAAAGCGAAGTCCTTCGTCTTAGTTTTGAAAAAAACTATTTGCCTATTTTTGAGCCCATATATTAATTTAAATAAATTACGCGTTCAGGTACAATTCCGCAATGGGCTGCAGGCGACAACCGCAGGCGACACTGCGGCTGACCGTGCATTGTATGCATTATGCAGTCGTGGCATGTCGCCGCGCTCGGAATCAATTTCATAGAGATTCATAGAAACTAGTAGTGTCGCCTGCAGTCTGCAACTGCGACCTGTGGTCTGCGATTCAGTTCGGACTTGTACCTTTACGTTGTTTGTTCGGGATTGACTCCTAAACTACTTAACCGATTTTAATCAAATTTGAAGTATTTCGCACGCGCACCGAGGCACCGAGGGCCCGCTGCGTATGGTTGGTCCAAAGGTCGTAAGCTCTAAAAAGTGTAAAGGAGATTGCTCAAATTGTCCCAAACGCACAAAAAATATTGACATACACGGTAATTCTTGGCGTAATTTATAATTTAATTTACAATCATTAGATTTCAACGGACCACTTTGTATAATATATTAACTTTAAAAAAGACTTTTAATTTTACCGGTTTGGAAAACATACGGATCATTTTTAAATGGCTATGGGTGTAGTAACATTCAGCCAAAGACTGATCGAAGTTGTTTATATAACATAAAAACAAATCTATTTTGTAAAGATCGATAAAATAAATCATTTTTTTTATTACACTATGGTATTAATATCCACAAATGTGCTCAGATAATTATTATAGATGGTAGGCGACATCATAAAGTCTATTGCCATACATTTTTCGCCAAACACCTCCATAAACACATTATAATCTGTATATACTCGTATGTTAGACTTTAAGGTATCTATCTATGGGCCTACGTTGCCTGACTATAAATTAATAAATAAATAAAATTATAAGGTGTGATACACTAAATATCTAAAATATGTTTATATTAAAAACCTAACAAAAATAATGAAGCTACTGAATATATGGCTATATAACCTAAATCTCTTAGCTTTCTTTGGTTAACGAGAGTTTAAAAATTCTCTCTAATCTGTGGCTCATTCACAATCATCACACAGTTTTTGTCACAGAGTAACTTATTATAACCGGAAATGCATAGATGACACCTGATTTTATAAGTTACTCTTATGCATTAACTTTAAAAACAAGCAACTATCTGTTAATCTACATGCTCTATATACCTGAATCTAATCCATAATTTCGGTACTTGGCTTGATTTCTCTAGTTTACTATATAACTTATTTGTTTTTTATTATTTTAATATGTTCAGTGTATATGGTTTATAGAACTTCTCAGGGGTGTCCGTCAATAACATTCGTTTCTACAATAATTTATATATAATTTTGAATCTAGGAAACAATTTTTCATGATTATTGGTCTTTAGGCCAAACATGTATGGAAGCTGAGCAATCTCCTTTGTTTTTTGTTTTATATTTTCTTCGAAACTCTACCTCCACAATAACCGAAGCACGAGTGCAAGGAGTATTCGTGGCATTTTAATGACGTATGCGCTAAATGCAACTTGAATTTATTTATCCTAATAAGATTATAAATGTGAAAGTTTGCAAATTTGAGTGTCTGTACGCTAAAACTAATGAACGGTTTTGTGTGAAATTTTGGACGCAGATCATAAACTTAATGTTTAATAATCATAAACTAAATGAATTCAATTAATGTCTTTTGTGCACCCGAATACCAGCTAATGACCAAGTGTAATCGACCCATTACGCGTGTGCAATCCGTGGTCGACGCGAGTCATCTGAACATGTTCTTAGATGTATGTACACAAGAAGGGCAAAGAATTCTATTTACAATAAATAAATATAAATAAATTAATAAATAATGTGGCGGCGACATCTACATGCCCCACATATAACTAACATGGAGGAAATAATCACTCGCCTCCTCAAGAAATGGCGCTACCGGCGCTGCGTTCACTACGTAAGGAAGCCTACATCGCGCAAGTGAAATTCGGCAGCCAACAGTTCATATATACCATGAAAATTAGTCGGGCCGCTGCCCCCGAGCGACCATCACCCAGCTCGGAGGAAGATCTTTCCCTTTGACCTTCCTACAATAATTCACACCAATTAGCCTAGCCCCAAAGTAAGCACATAAACTAAATGTTTATGATCTTTATTAAGACGTATAGACTTTTTATCCCGGATAAAAGGTGGGTCACTGTGGAATTCTCAAAAAAACTAAAATTAACGCGAATGAAGTCGCGAGCGGCCGCCTGTATGTCATAAGACACGGGAGCGCTGACGCGCGTGTCGTCTTAACAAGGTCTTAGGCTTTATTAGAGATGCAAAGAATTCTTTTCTTATTCGGTATTACCGAAGTTCGGCAGCTTTTACCGAATTTCGTATTGAATTCTCGACCTAAATTCGGTAGCTTAAATTTATAATAGTAAGTTATAGAAATATAAAAAGATATGTATGTATTTTAAAATTAAATCTTAATCAAATGATGATTTGTAAGCAAGTAGGTATAACGGGGTTGTTCGTTTGTTTGTTTTAAATGCCCTAGCTAGACTAATAAACATAATATGAAAATATGCTTTAAAAAATCAATTTAAGTTATATTTTCTTTAGAAATACTACCGTTTTATAAAGAATGTTGGCAAAACTACTCCGCAACCCGATGTTATTAAAGCCGACCTATAGTGTCCAGTTTAGGTATAATGTAATGCTGTTGTTATGAGACGCAACTCGTTGTCCTTGTCTAACCGCTGCTGCAATGCATTTGCTTTCATTCTATTAATAGTTTACGTGGCTGGATAACGGACGAGCGTGCGTCCTGTTAAGGTATGGTTTATCTAGTGCGATTCGTCTAAGTATATTTTTTTTAAATAGATTTCAAAATATTGCTTGACTGTGGAAGTATGATACTTATGTATTGTTCTGTTTATATTTGCAACAGATAGTCACTTCAAAAAAGCTAATTATGACTAGACTAAAACATAAAAAATATGCTATATACTAGAACAATGAAACTAGAAAGTATCCAATGTGTGTATTCTATTGATATATATATCACCTGTACCCTTAGTACGAGTTTTGCAATTACGAAAACTATGATAGTTTTCGTGAGCTCGCACTCGTACTAAGGGTACTGATTTTATTGTTTTCGTTTCAATACAAATAAAGTTGTTTAAATTCTACCATTAAATCATTTGCGTCTTCTTAAATTTTAAGTATATTTGGTTAATTTTCACCATAATGGACATAGAAACATAATTTACAATTACGAAAACTATGATAGTTTTTGTAAGCTCAAACTCGTACTAAAGGTACTGGTTTATTTAGCATATCTTCTTTTTGCACCCCGTATTGTTCTTTCTAACTCTTACTGGTCGACTGGTAGAGAATACCTTATGGTATTATATTCGCCATTTGGTGTTTTTTTGCAATAAAGTATAAATAAATAAAATAAATTGTTATAGTAAGTAAACAGTATATTTTTTTTATGTTTTAAGCTAGTGATTTTAAACTCGTCATGTTTATGTAAATTTTGTACTTACTTTGTAATATTAAACGCAGTTGACATTCATTAAAACAATTTGTGGAAATGAGTAACATAATTTCTTACAGTGTTGTTAGACTTTTCTATAATATTTAAATCTACAGCAAAATTTATACTAGATAAAATTCCACGTGGACAGGACTCGAACCCGCACCCTTCGCTATCCGGGCGTGCATTCGCACTGATCGTGTTTGTTATTTCCACGCATTAATAATATTTTTTTATTATTTAAAGTAATTCTGTTGCATAATGTGCTTTAAAAAATGTAAATACAATCTACTAATAATATTATAAATGTGAAATTTTGTATGTTTATCATTCAATCACGTAAAAACTGGGAAATGTTTTTCGAATAATGCGCCGCGGGATGAGATTACTATTACGTAAATATCACACTTAATTTGGCACCTATTATGGACTTTGAAAGATATAGTTCGCGCACATTACTCGTATGTCGGGCCGAAGCGGGGTGGAGTGGGCCGTAACACATCGCAAAATGCTTACTTAGCTCATTAGTGACGGGCCTTATCGCAGTGCAATGAAGGATTTTTGGGATAGTGTACTGCCAGATGTCCATGCAACTTATTCTTGACAAGCCCAGCGACAGTCAGACGAACTTTACGTTCGAATTATTTTAAATAGGCATAAATTAAATAAGTACGTATGTAACTAGAAAAAATTCCACGCAGACCAGGCAGCAGACGGGACTCGAACCCGAACCCTTCGCAATCCGGGCGAATACACAGACCAATTATGCTATCGCGGCCCTCATGGACCGCGTCGAAATTTCTCTAGCCATTCTTAAGCTGCAAGTCAGCGCCATCTCTTCATATTATAGGCAACCCACAATGTCAAATGAATACTTTTACAAGTATTAAACATTAGAAAGAAGAATTAGCAATTATAGTAATATTTTTTTTAAAGCATGTAACTGCTGATGTTTGATGAAATGATGTTTAAATCTAAAGAAAACATCAAGCAGTTACATGCTTTAAAAAAAATTATAACTAAGTGCGTATGGTCAATATTCAAACTGGCGTCTGTTTCTTTTATAAATATAGTATAATTGTTAACTCTAATAAATA